CCCATTGATTCCTATGAATACAGGAAACTTGTAAAGTTTTGTTGAATTCTTATCTGAAATAAAGGTAACTGCATTTAAGTGTCAAATGGTTCTTTTTCAATTAGAAAAAAGTCTGTTGTTGACCCATTTGTGGAAAATATGGCTAAAAGGCTTTTATAGTTGAGCTTGAATTATCTAATTTTGGTGGTTGAGAAGCCTCAAGTGTCTTGGGTTTCTGGGCACATATTAATCTCCAAATTACAGTGCTGCAAAATTTTGGTTTCACCATGATGTGTCATTTTGCTTATAACTTTAGGCTATGACATGTAGGTTAATTCACATTGATGTCTGGTGGCAGAGTGTTCAGCAAATTGGAAGCAGAGCTGACCGTATGAAGATTGAAACAGAGGATCTTTTCTTGTATGCAAGCACTGATATTGAGGTGCTTAGTTCTGGGCTTGGGCTGACTGAATCTTGTCTTTGCCTTTTACATTATCCTTATTAAACTTGACATAAGTAAGACCATGTTATTGTGATATCTGATGTGCTGTCCATAATTCCTTTTTGTTTGTTTACTTACCATTTGATTTTAATCAGTCTCATGCGAACTTAATGCAAGTTTCGCGATTATACCCAATGGTCAAAGGTTGGTTCACCTACCAATTTAAATAAATATACATCAAGAAGTAGGACTGCAGCTACCAATTTATTTTTTAAGTTAAGCATGTGGTAAAATAAAATTGATACAGTTTATTGGTGTATCACTATTTCCGAATGGTTAAGCCATTTGGACTCCGTCACTGGAGAGCCCAACTTGTGGAATTCAACATAAACTGGGAGGTTGCAATTGTAAGGACTTATTAGGATTCCACTGATATCATGTTGAGGAAATAGGGGAAAAATAAGATGCATTAATCATAACCCTAAAAGGTTTATATAAAGTACAACCTTACTGTCATTGGAAACTATAGAATGCCATTCCCCTGTAACTACTTAGATGTATTGACTAGATATAATCATGTGCTTAAATAGCCTATTTGTAAATTGTTTTTCTTGCAACTCTCTCTGTCTCTGTCTGTCTGTCTGTCTGTCTCTCTCATGTATATTAAATTTGCGTAACTCTCTAGTATGATCCTTAGGTAAGGATCTATTTATCAACCATTATATCAGATACATTCCATCAGATTTGGACTGTTGACATGTGGAGAGGACGAGATGAATCTTAGTAGATTTCAGTTGTTCGTCCATAAATGATCTAATGGCTGATAAACATGTCCTTTTT